TCCAAATGTCAGGGAACAACCTTCGACCCCATATAACTGTGGAAAAATCTGAAAATCACTGATGGAAATAAAGAAGCTTGGCTCACACAAATCACCAGGGTTTGCTGTTTCAGAGTAAATGAGGACTACAGCCTTACTAGGAGTAAAACTAAGCTAAACAAATTATAAAGTAGGTTAATTTCATTCTCAGCACCTCAAACTCCCCCTCTCCAAATTCTTCCTCCTAATAACCTCAAGATCACTTTCAAATGCAAAACAGATGAGAAAATAATAAAAACTGTTTACGCAAGCAATCTTTGAATTTTCTTGTCTTTTGCCTTTTGTATAATTAAAATGTTTCCCCAGCATTTTCAGTCAATATCTGGTAGATACTTGGGGACTCAAGGTCCCGAAGTGATGCAAATGGCTTGTAATTGACCACTAACATAAACGTTAGTGGTTCAAACCCACCAGCAGAAGGTCTGGTGGTCAGTTTCCCTAAAGATGACAGCCAATAAAACCCCACGCAGCTCAGGTCTGGTCTGTAACATGGGTCACCATGAGTTAGAGCCAACTCAGTTACAAAGGGATTGGTTTGGAGTTTATGTAGAGAGCAGCAAGATTGTAATCTTGAACATTGAATGATGGGGACACCTTTCTGAGTTTTGTTAGAGAGAAAAATGATAGGAAACCTGGGACTGTGGAAAAAGTAAAGAGACTGAGCTCTCCCATGGGCTTCAGGAGTAAGCAGGAATTCAATTGTAACCCACAGCTTTGTTCAAGGAAACTTTTAGAAAATCACTTCTTCCCAAGACCTAAAAGAGAGTCGTATTTATACTACAGAATAATCCATTTGTTTCATTTTAAATGGAAAACTGTTCCCCCCCGCCCCCACAACCATTGAATAGTAATCATAGCCATGTTTCACTTGTTTTAACCAAACCAAACCCATCCACCATCCTGTCGATTTCGACTCACAAGTAGTTTCAAGGAGCAAAATCTTGTAGCTTTCTCTTCTGACCTTGTTGAAGCTTCCTTCATCGAAGCATTCTATTTTTCATCGACATGCATATTATTCAGTGATCATGTTATCTAGGCTGGAAGGTTTAGCTAGCTAAAAAAAGCTGAGTGCCCAAAATGCTTTTCCTGAGGAAAAGCAATAGCCATGCATTTCTACAACAGAATGGAATTATCTATTTATATGTTTCCCCACTTTCATCTCCATACTTCCTGTGCCTAGTACAGAAATAGGTATTCAATAAAAGTATTAAGTTAAAATAAAAAACAAAAAACCGATCTTGTGTGATTCCTCCTCATCGTTCCTATCCGAAGTCCTCTCTGGAATATAAATTAAGCCTTCTTCTACATTGAATATCTCATTACCTGATGGTGTTTAATTTAAACAAGAAGAATATTCAACAAAACCAAACAAAAGAAACCCCTCTTTACTAGTAATTGTTATTAATAACTTTTCAGCTATAAAAAAAGAGATCCATTCTTTAATGGAAGGTAAGTATTTGAATCTAAACCTAAAAGGATATTGGCTGTTTGTTGCCATCATTTCATCCAGACTCATGGCAACCCCGTGTCTTACAGAGCAGAACTGCACCATAGGGTTTGTTGTTGTTAAGAGCCATCGAGTCGGTTCCCACTCATAGTGACATTGTATAGGGTTTCTGAGCTGAGAAGCAGCTGGTGAGCCTGAACTGCCGACCTTGAGGTTCAAATTAATCTTGCAGTCCAGCGCATTAACCCACAGCGCCACACCAAGGGTCCATAGGGTTTCATTCACTCTAATCTTTGTCTTTCTTCTGCTATAGCCACTGAGTGAGTTGGAACCACCAGTTTTAAGATTAGCAGCCAACTGCAAATCATCTGTAACATCCAGCCTCCTTTGTTGTTGTTATTGTTGTGAAGTGCCATCGAGTCAGTTCCGACCCATAGCGACCTTGTACAGGGTTTCCAAAGGGTGTAAATCTTTAAGGGAGTAGAAAGTCTCATCTTTCTCCCGTGGAGTGGCTGGTAGTTCCAAACTGCTGACCTTAAGATTCGCAGCCCAATTCGTAACCACTACGCTAAAGTAGCTAAGAAACAATGAACTAAAGATCTAAGTCTATAGGATGGTTATGACCATTGTTAAGTGCTATGGAATCGGTTCTGACTCCTAGCGACCCTGTATAGCGTTTCGGAGAGCGGCTGGCGGGCTTGAACCACCAACCTTGCACATAGCAGTCTAGTGCTTACCCTACAAGAACTAGACTTTTAGAATCGAAGGAGACCTTAACATCCAGCTAGCTCTTTCATCCAATCCAAAGCAATCTTACCTAGAACCCGTTCCCTTTACTCTTCCTAAATCATATCATTCCCTCCCTTAAGCTAGCAAGCAATTCATAAGAAGACAAAGAAAGCAATAGAAGCAAAGGGCAAACAGTGTAATTCGGGCTTTGGATATGGATTTGTTGACAGTAATGAAAGAGTTAAATCAACACACTGGCAATATCAGTGGGCTCACACATAACAGCAATTGTGAGGGTGACACCCGAATGGAGCAGTGTTTACGTTCTGTTGTGCATACCATCGATATGAGTCAGAACAACTCAAGGGCACCTAACAACAACAACAATGAGATAGTTAGGCTTTTGTTGTTGTTAAGTGCCGTCGAGTCGGTTCTGACCCATAGCGACCCTGTATAGGGTTTCCGAGGAGCAGCTGGTGAGCTTGAACTACCGACCTTGCTGTTCAAACTGACTTTGCAGCCCAGCTCATTAACTCACAGTGCCACACCAGGACATAATTCCTGAAAGAATCCTTCTCATGTTCAGCATTAACACATAATACAGATAAGGTTGTGAAGAACATTGTCCCTTTCTTCAAATATCACTAAGAAAAGCCTCATGATGTTTAATAAAAGGTAGATCTTACAATATAAGGAAAATAGGGCACAGCGCCTTATAATTCAAGTAATACTTTAAAGCTTTTGAGCATTTTGAAGTCTATACTCTTAAGCTTTGCACTTCATTCTCTTTACTCAAGAAAATTAGTTATCACCGAGTATTGGCAAAGATCTAAAATGCTGCAACACTCATTTGTTGCCAGTGAGAATACTAACAGATACAACCTCTTTGGAAAACGCACAGCATCAACGAAAAGTGAACACATGCCTTCTCTGTGACCCAGGCATCTTAGACCTGGATATAATCCTAAAAGAAATGAATGTTCAGGTCCACCAAAAATCGTACGTAAAACAGAATGTTTACGGCAGTCTTATTCATCATTATCCAAAGCTGGAAGCAACCTACATGCTCTTCAACAACTGAATGAATAAACAAATTGCATAGTATATACATACTAAGGAGGAAACACCCAACTGATAAAAGAAAACAAAAAACCACTGAAGGCAGGAAGATGGTTGAATCTCATAATCAAAATGTGCAGCCAAAGAAGCAGGGTGGACAGAGTGCATCGTGATAGTTGGGTTTACATGGTCTTCAAAAATAGATGAGCAAGGTCAGAAGAGTGGCTACTTTGAAAAGTTAAGTGACGCAGAGTAGACCTGCTCTACTGTGATGATGTGGATCTAATAAACTAAAAGAAGCGCTGCTAGCATAGTGGTTACGAGTCGGGCTGCTAATCCCAACGTCAGCAGTTCGAATCTACCAGCTGTTCCTAGAGCGAAAGAGGAGGCTTTCTACTCCTGTAAAGATTTACAGCCTCAGAAACCCTATGCAGGGTGACTATGAGTAGGAACCAACTCCACTGCACACCACCACCATAATAAATGAGTGGAATTGTACTCTTATATGCATGTTTACAGGATGCCAATTGCCACCTCATTTAGAAAATCCCGGAGAGAGAAAAATGCAGACATTTTTGAGATCTTTCTTAAATATCAAAGAATGTGATGCAGTTTAAATACATCTGAAGTATCGGTCTTCACACTTTCAGAAAGTATTTAGATAAATGCACTTGTTTCTTAATGGCATGCTTAACAGTATAGGGGCAGTGATGTATCTTTTGTCTTTTAATTTCATTTTTCAGGAACTCTTTGAAGGTCCCCCTTATGTATAGTGAGTCTTCTTGTATTGACATAATTGCTAAATGTACTCTACTTTTTAAATGTACCATATGCATATTTACCAACTAGTCAAGATACATGTAGGGGGCCCTGGTGGTGCAGTGGATAAAGCACTCCTTGGCCAACAAAAGGTTGGCGGTACTGTGGATCCCACCAGATGCTGTTGAGGAGGAAGATGTGGAAATCTGTTTCCTGTAAAGATTTACAACTCTGCAAACCTTATGGGGCAATTCCACCCTGTCCTATAGGGTAGCTCTCCCGACCACTGGCAGTAGGTTCAAAAATAAATGTGTAAGAAATGTAAAATGTTTTTCCTTCCTTACGCTTTTCTTCTTATTTTATATTTCTTACTCTTGGCCCTTCTGAATGATTTGTAACTAAAATTACGGGAAATAATTCCCACACGCCTACGAGGATATAGCAAATATTTCCTCTATTCCTCACAGAGATTTCCTTAAACTAGAGATCATTGAATTTGGGGGCTGTACAAGAGCCAGGTGTAGACTCCCAGACTTGCCTCGGGTGAAGACGCCAAGGCCCGGAAGGGAGAAAGCAGGTCCCCGAACTCTGCCCCCTTCAACTCAAACTAGAATTAACCTGCTCATCTTTCCAGATACAAGCGAACTAACGAGGGGGTCTCTCTTTTTGCTGTAAAAAATTATTCGACCGAGCAGATTTTTGGGGGACAGTTCGGAGTCCTTGAACACTGCTTGAGGGTTTAACCCCAGAATAAAAAACTAGCGCCCCTGGGAGGGGGCAACTCCTAAGGTTTGCGCTATATGTCCTTTGTATAACCGTTCCAAAGTAAGTCTTGATTGAGTCTTTTGAGATTAGGTGGGGGGAGCGATTTGGGGTGAAGCGCTTTGGGGGTGAAGAAAGGTACGTTTTCCATTCAGAGTTCACTTCATAAATCAAAACATCAAAAGAAGACGTCTCCACCCCCCACCCTAGGGAGTCTAAATGATCAGGGCCACAGGCGCCAACCTTGGGTATCCACCCCACAGCCCCAACCCGCAGTGCCCCGCGCCCGGGAAGGCAGACTGGGTGCTGGGTGGCGCGGCCCCGTGGGCCCCTCCAGCCTGAGACAAGGAATCGGTTATCGCCGCTGGCAATCGCAGCCAGGAAGAAGGGACTAAGTGACCGAAGAGGGACGTGGGGGTGGGGGTGGGCGAAGGGGTGGGCTGTGGAGAGAGCGCGGGGGGCGGCGGCCGAGAGCGGCGAGCGAGGGAGAACGGAGAGGGTGTGGAGCGAGGCTCCAGGCGCTGGGGGCCGAACGCGGGGAGGGCGCAGAGTCAGACGCTGGAGCCTAGCGCAGGACGTGGGGATCTGAGCCTGGCGCGGGGAGGGGGCGAGGCTCTGGTGGGCGAGCGAAGGGCACCGAGGTCCGGGAGTGGGGTCCTGGGCGGAGGTCTGGGCGCGGATCAGGGTGCCAAGCTTGGGGAGGGCGGGGCTCTGGGGTCCGATCGATAGGCGCCGGGTAGGTGGGCGCTGAGCGCGGGGCCCGGAGGAGTTCGGGGGTCTACGCACAGGGCCGCGGGGGCGAGCAGGGCCTTACCCAGCAGCGGGAGCCAGCCTCCGCACCGCACCGCCGCCGGCATGGCCTCCTGAGCCGGGTCCCAGGCCGCCACCGGCCCGGCGCGCCGGGCTGCAGGTAGCTCGCCTAAGGATGCGCGTCACCGACCGCAAATTCCCTCGGAACTGGTGCAGAGTGGAGGGGGAGGAACCTCTCCCTGCGGCCGGCCGCGGCAGGAGCCGGAGGGGCTGGGCCGAACGGAGCCGGGCTGGCGCAGCGCTGCGGTCGGGCCACGTGCCCCGCGCGGTCCCGCAGCCCGGCTTTCGGCGCCCGGGGCTCCCCGACTGCGGCGGCCAGACAGGCGCGGTCCCGCCGCCGGGGAACTTCCAGGGCTCGGCGGCGCTGGCGGGGAGTGGGCACCGAATGAGCTGCCCTGGGAGTCCCCGAACCCCTCATGGATCCCGGAGCGTCCGCACAGCCTGAAGCCAGGAGTTGGGCTCCGGCACCAGGGGGCTCGGAAGCCCCAGGCAGGGCACTAACTCTGCACTGCGCGCTGGAGGCGCGGCTCAGAGCCAAGACGGCGGGAAGGTCTCCCCAGTCCTCATTCTGGACCCATTTTAATTGTCTCCCCTTGCATCTCCCCGGTGCTGGATACCCAATGGGCAGTGGGACCAACCAAGGCAGAGAGGCAATAATGCAGCCCGGAATAAAATCCAGGATGTTTTGAAATCTTCACTCTTTGAGTACCTGAGTTCCTCATCACACAGTATTTCGAGCTGAAAATCATTTCCTTTGCAATTACTTAAAGAGAGAATAGACTTATAGGCCATTTCTGGTTCGTCCCTGAAATAGCCCTTGGAAAGCAAGTTTATCTACCTGGAAAAGGAAGGACTTGAACCAGCGGGCTTCGGATGTCTCTTCTTGTTCCTGGATTTCCATGCTATTGACCATTTTAGACATTTTAGGTATTTCACTAATGTAGACATTTTTCCAATAAAGCCTGGTGTTGGCCCATACAATTCTTTCTCCAGTCATGTGGTACAACGGTTAAGCTCTCAGTTGCTAACAGAAAGGTTGGCAGTTCAACCCATCCAGTCTCTCCGCGGAAAAAAAACCTGGCAATCTGTTTTCATAAAGATGACAGCTTAGAAAACCCTGCATGACGATTAGAAACTTAAAAAGCATCTGTAGCTCAGAGACAGGACTGGAGGAAGGTGACATGAAATCAGTGATGTATGCGCCCTGGTGGCACTACGAGCTAAGCATCGGGCTGGTAACGCAGAGGTTTGCGGTTTCAACCCACCAGCATATCCTGAGGAGAAACACGAGACTGTCCCCTCCAGTACAGTTTTATAGTCTATCCTTTATAGGATGGCTATGGGCTTCTGGTGTGCTGCTATAGTATAAACACCACTAACCACAAGGTTGGTAGTTCAAACCGCTCCTTGGAAACCCTACACAGGCTTGTTATGAATTGGAATCCACTCGATGGCACTTAACAACAACAATATAAGTTGGAATCATAGCACAGCTGTGTAGAGTATGCATACTATGGTATATTCATAACCCAGGAGATTGGGTTTGGTTTTCTTATTCTGGGGGGATTGATGAAGTGATGAAGCCACTTGGTGATGAGGGGAAAGGTAGGCTTGGGGTCTCCCAGTTGCAAAGTTCCAGTGCATTTTACCCTTATTTAAAGCTGAGGACTGCAAGCTAAAAGGGAAACCAATGATTACCAGTATACAAAATATCAGCTTCAGTTGGACACACTATTCAGGACACAAAAATCACAGTGTATATTTTTCAAAGAATTTTAGATACAGGTGGAACGCTGTGAGAAGTAGTGTTTTGGATTGAAATGTGTAGCCCCAAAATATGTGTTGAAATCCTAACCCTGATAATGGAGTGGCACAAATGGTTAAGTGATGGGCTACTAACCAAAAGGGTAGAAGTTTAAACCCACCCAGAAGTAACTCAGAAGTAAGACCTGGCTATCTGCTTTCAAAAGTTCACAGTCCTGGAAACCTTTTTGAAAAAATTCTGCATTGCACACATGGGTTGAGATGAATCAGAATCTACTACACCACCAAAGAACATCAACATACCTGTAGATACAATCTCCTTTGGGAATTAGGGTTAATAAAGCCATGTGAATATCTACATATAGGGTGCACCCTAAACGTGATCATTTTTAAAGTAATATTTTATTTTGTAGAAAGTTTACAAATCAAATCAAATTAGTTTTCCATGTAACAATTTCCAAACAAATTGTTCAGTGACATTAGCTACATGTTTTACAATGTGTCAACATTCTCTAATTGCATTCTGATTGTTTCCAGTCAGCTAGTTTCCCTCTCTGACTTCCCTTCAAGCTTCCCTTCCCATCTTTTCTTTAGAGTAATTATTGGCCTAATGGTATTAGCTGTTTGTTTTTAAATAGAATCCCATACTCATGGGTAATATTCTTCATTTTGTATCATTGTTAAAGGTTGTTGTTACATGCCATCAAGTTGGTTCCGTCTCCTAGTGACCCTGTTCAGGGTTTCTGAGGAGCAGCTGGTGGGTTTGAACTTCCGACCTGTGGTTTGTACTACCAATCTGTTATTTCATTAAAAGGTGACCTCAGGAGATAGTTTTGGCTCAAGGTTTACAGATCATCTCAGTGTGAAAGTCTCAGAAATCCTCTATTCCAAGGAGGTCTTGGGCTTTTTGAAGGAGGTCTGGGCTTGCTTTTTTTTAAGAATTTGAGTTCTGTATCAGGCTTGTCTCCTATTTTATCTCGGTCCATCTATATGGCACTGATTAGACTGGTTGGTAGTAGTTGTTGAGCACCAGTTCTTTTGGCCTCAGGGTAGGAGACATGCTGTAAAGCTAATGACTTCTGAGCAATAGAAAACGCAGTGTATGTGAGCAAGTGTAAATTGCTACAGTTTGATGAACTGGGCCTTTGCTTATGGATGAAGTTGCTCAAAATTTCAGCCAGAATGGAAAGATTCTTTGTTTGTATTAAGGAGCAAGCTTGTTTCCTCAGTGTACTGGGTTGACAGGATGGTCGATCTAGACACTGGCAATCAGAAATGAGAGGGGGCCTAGAAAGGCATGAAGTGACTCACTTACAAGCTTTTGTGAGTGTGCTTAGTTTCTGAACAAGAGGGTAAGGTAGAATCCCCACGGAATTGTTTTCCTTTTCTCCAGATGGATCTGGAGAAAGGGGATGGGTGATGGTAGGATTTAATGATTCGTTTGGGAGTAATTGTCAGCAGGATTAATTGTGATGGTCACAACTGTAATTGTAGATGTGTAACTATAAGGGGCGAGGAGTTCATCTTTCATTTCGGGAACAGATGATCCCAGGACCACGAAGAAGGAAGAGGATGAGTGGAGCATGAGATCCTACCTAGACAAGTGGTGACAGCAGAGACAGTGGTGCAGAGGTGGTGGCATGGAGAGACAGAGCAGGTGCAGGCTCTAGGCCCAGAGACTGAGGAAGGCTGTGTGCTTGAGGACAGGAGGCTGGCTTGCAGACTATGCCCTTTGGACATTAAAATGAATATAATGTATATTTTTTGTTTTATATGTGGGCATAAAATGTTTTACTTTGTTCATTTGTGAAATATAAAGTGTAAAAGGGAAGCCATGGGGAGGAAGTAGGTTAATTGTTGTTACAGGGAGGGGATTGTAATCAGTAAAATGAAACAAAGTGTATAATTTGTTAAATGTAAAACTGATGATCTTGTCTGTTAATCTTCACTCAATTCACAATAAAATGTGGAACATAAATAAATAAATGAAGCAAAACTAAAAAAAAAAACAAGAAAGAGCAGTACAAACGAAAGACATGATCAAGAAGGTTGTTGTTGTTGTTACGGGCCCTTGAATCAGTTCAATTTATAGTCACCCTGCACACAATAGAACAAAACACTGCCCAGTCCTGTACCATCATTGTTGTTGTTGTTAGGTACCATGGAGTCGGTACCAACCCATAGCGACCCTATGCACAACAGAACGAAACACTGCCGATCCTGGGCCAACCTCACTATTGTTGTCACGCTTGAGCCCAT